TAAACCTACTAGAGTGGTCAAGACTCATCTAGGTTTTTATAGTTAATATATAATTAGGAGATATACTATATTGGATCCATAATGTGGACCAAAGTTGAACTTTTTGTATAATTATAAAATTATTTTAAAATAATTATATAGTAAAATTATTATAAGATTATTATAAAATTATTATAAGGTACAATTTTAATAATTATATTAATATCTTTAAGATTATCTTAACTTTATTAAAAAAAACAGCTAGTTTCTATAAAGTATAATTTATATTCAATAATTTTATATTAATTATATATAGTACAAACTTAATAAAATAGGCTAGAATCATTCAGTTAATTTTTATTAAGTGTTTTAGAAATTATAAAAATAGCTATAAATCATATAAATTCTGGATTTAAAAATTTTATTGATAAAACATGACAAGTTTATAATTTTTGCAGAATAAAGCAATTAATTAATATATTTAAATTTTAACTAGCCTAGCAATACATTTTTTAATAAAATATATTAACTATATACATCTAATTTATATTAATATATTCTGCAGTTATATAATAATTCTTAACTATAAAGATACTAAAAGTATTTTTGCTATTTTCTTAAAGCTCATAAAAATTATTTTTATACAAATTATCTTTCTGAGACTTATAAATTATCTGCTTGAGGTACTTTATAAAATTTTTGATATCCACTAATTGTAGGATTATACTTCATAGCATTAGTATATAATATCAAATTTACGTTTGTAGTCTTGTGTAATGATTAACAAAATAGCTTAGGATTTAGTATAGACACTGATTTGAATTAAGAAAATTTAAGCTAAAAAAATATCAATATTTATATGTATATTATAAATAAATTTTAATGCATACTTGTTTAAACTCTGTAATAATCTCATTATTCTATAAATAATTCAAATTTTTAAATTAATAATACTTTCAATATAAAAATATTTAAATTTTAAATTTTTACTACTTTAATTGAAGCTTCTAATTCTAAGAGTTTGAAAAAAATACACTAATACTATTGATTAATAGTGATAATGCATCCTCTTTTTGCTTGTTAGAGGGATGAGCATAAATTTTGTAAAATAACTTACTTTTATATCTAGCAATAGATATATTGGTACTCATTACAACACCTTTCTAAAAAAAAGAAGTAATTGGAGTTAATTTACTTGAGTGATTTATGATATCACAACCTTTTTATCAATTTCTACTGTAGTTCAAATGTTTTTCATAAAAAATCTACAAGACTTTGCTTCTAATCTTGTATCGAGGTACTATGGATCCTTCGAATAGTTTAAATTAAAATAAGTAGTTAAACAGTTTTAAAATCATATAACAAATTAAAGATTTGTAGTTAACAATATACTTACTATTAATTTTATTATTAATTTTATATATAAGTATGAGCATTTAAAATTCAATAGCTATTTTGAAAAGTAGAGCTTAATATCAGAAACTGGATCTTGAAATTCTTCAGAATTAGGCAAAATAGGCACAATAAATTCATCTAAATTACTATTTATCTGCCTTGATTATTTTGAAAATATTTTTAAAATTAATTCAACTACTAAAAGTAAATTCAAATTGCTCTATCAATATATTGTAGTGTTTACTACTATGAAATTGAAAAAGTAAACAACACTATATAAACACTTAGTATTGTAAGCTCTAAAGAGTATTATTTGTAATTAAAAGATAGTTTGTAACTCTAATTATGTAATAAGATACTATTCTTTCTTTTTTAAGTTTCTTTATTTTTCTATTTAAAGTATCCCATAAATGAGCAAATTTCTTTCTATTTGATATATTAAAAGACTTATTATCTTTTAAATGCTTTAAAATATAAACACTAAGTAACTTAATATAATTAATAAGAGAAGTTAGAGCATAATCTTTATTAGTATTGACTTGTTGAATCTTCAAGATAAATTCCATCATCTCATGTTCAAACTAGTTCTTATCTGTAACTATTTCAATTTCATAGTTATATCCTATGTTATGGTGCTAGTTTTCTAAGATCTTTACCTACTTTATTGTTGTCTTTTGAGTTTTTTTAGAAATTGTGCTATTAATTATCTCATTAATTTCAGCATTAGTAGGTTTGTAATATTTATTTTTTTGTTATATCTATTTTTTTTTTTACTAATTGACTAGAAAAAGAAAATTGTAATTAATTCTAAATTAGTTAAATACTAGCTCTTAGGACCCAGTTATTGCCCGGGTTTGAGTTTTTAACTTTTTGCTAATTCTTAGCTCTCAATAATATCAAAATTTTAATTTTATACTAATTCTTAGGTCTTAATAATATTAGCTTTTAGGATCCAGTTATTGAGTTTCTAATATTTTAGGCTTTAATAATATTAGCTCTTAGGACCTTGTTGTTAACCAAGTTTGAGTTTCTAATTTTTTGCTAATTTTTAGACCTTAATATTACTAACTCTTTGGGCTCAATATTACAATATTAGCTTTTAAGACCTAGTTATTGTCTGGATTTAAGTTTCTAATATTTTGCTAATTCTTAAATCTTAATAATATTAGATTTTAGAACTCAGTTGTTGTCTGGTTTTGAGTTTTTAATTTTTTGCTA